CAGTTGATAAATATTTTGGTCATTTCCATTTTTTGCATCTATATTTATAAGCAATGTTGGTCTTTACTTTTCTTGTGGTGTGTTTCTTCCGTTTTAGTATCAGGGTAATACTAGTCTTGTGAAATGAATTGGAAAGTATTCTATTCTCTACTAATTTTTGGAAGTGTAGGTGAAGAATTAATATTAATTCTTGAAATGTTTGATAGAATTTCTCAGTGAAACAACCTGTGATTGGGCTTTTTTTATTGTGAGTAGTTTTCTGATTACTAATTTAATCTCCTTAAAATCAGAACCAAACATCTTACATTCTACAGCTTGATTATTTTTGCCCAAGATTAGGTTCCACATTGATAGATTGTAGCCTTTGTTCATTCATGTTCACGTAGAATGTAGCACAGTTTAATTATCCTGTCTTCTGTCAATAAACATTGGGGTGTTCCCAGTGTGTCATCATTATGGACAAATCTGCCATGAGCATCCTCATGCTAGCCTCCTACAGCACTTGGAGGCGTCTCTAAACAGAGGCTTACAAAACTTTTTAACCAAGACCCATAGTAAGAAATACATTTTATAATGTATCAAGATATATATAGGCTTGAAGTATATAAGTCTTACCAAAATCTAGATGAGATACTCTGATAAATTCTGTTCTCTATCATTCTGTTTCATTTACTTTTTCTAACATATTGATTGTGACCCACTAAATTGAAATTATCATTCACTAAAGACTCACAAAGCAGAGTTCCTGGGTTTGTAAGGTATGATCTCCAGCTTTATTAGAGAAAGGATACAAAATTAGTTTCCCACCAGCAGTACAACATAGTTGCAATTGCTCAACAGCTTTTTAAATATTTGTCAGCTCGGTAGCTATAGCACAGTGAGGATGGAAAAGGGCCACAGGTTAAACCCAACAAACTCAGGAAACTAAAACTAACCACATAAGATGGTGTGAACATAAAAAAATTCATAACTAAGGTGGGCCATGACAGGAAGTCACATCTTTAGCCTGAAGCTTCCTTTGTAAAGTCAATCTTCACCTTCAGTGAGCCTGTCTATTGTCTTTTTACACCTAAAATGACATCCTCGGAATGTCAGTAATCCCTTTTTCTGGGCCAGAGCAGGAAAGTACAGAATCCTTCAGTATTATTCTTGTCCCCTGATTACCATCTCTATGTGAACTATTAACTGTCCTGTACCACCTATGTAAAAGCAGTACTGGCTTGTTGCCGGTAAGATGGCAGAATAGACAGACGCTGTGCCGACTACCTCCCAGGATCACAACAAAATTACAAATAATTTATAAGATATTCAACCTCGGAAGTTCCCTGGACCCTAGATGAACAGAACCTCTAAACAAAGGACTTAAAGAGGAGGCCATATCGAGTCCAGTAGGAGGGGCGGAGATGAGAGAGGGCGAACCCTGTGAGNCAGCATGGCCGGATTGAGAGTGGTTTCGGTTTTGAACTTTAGTCTGGGATGGTCCAGGAGGAGGGCCTGGTATTGTGTGAGACGGGCGTTTGAGAGCCAACGGCTGGGGGCCCCCCTCAGTAGGGCCTCTATCCCATGAGCTGCGGTTACTGTTAAGGCCTGACCAAAGGTTAATTTATCAGCCTCTTTAACAAGGAGAGCTGTTGCAGCTATGGCTTTGAGGCAAGAGGGCCAGCTAGATGCTATGGGGTCCAGTCGCTTTGAAAGACAGGCGACGGGCCTCTTGCAAGGGCCTAATGTCTGTGTAAGGACCGTCTTTGCAATACCATTTTTTAGTGCTATAAAAAGGGAGAAAGGTTTAGTGATGTCCGCTAGAGCCAAAGCCGGGGCCGAGATTAGGGCCTGTTTTAAGGCATGGAAAGCTGCATCAGCCTCAGGGGTCCAGACAAGTGGCATATTCCCTCCTGCCGTAGCCGAATACAGGGTCTTGGCTAACTCCGCGAAACCCAGAATCCAGAGACGACAATAACCTATAGCCCCGAGTAATTCTCTGACCTGTCGTTTGGTGTTGGGCGTGGGGATGTGGGTGATGGCCTGGATGCGCCGGGCGGATAAGGCACATTTTCCCTGGTTGAGATCATAGCTCAGGTAAGTGACTGCAGGACTACAGAGTTGAGCCTTTTTGGCAGAGACCAGATACCCGAGTTCCTGCAAGGCTGACAGGAGATCCCCAGTAGCCTGCTTACAGGATTCAAAGTCCGGAGCAGCTAAGAGGAGATCATCTACATATTGAAGGAGTGTGATTCCCGTATGTTGCTCCCTGAAAGTGTGGAGGTCTTGATTTAATGCCTTATCAAATAGTGTGGGTGAGTTTTTGAATCCTTGGGGTAGATGGGTCCAAGTTAACTGTCCGAAAATTCCCCGTTTGGGGTCAGTCCATTCAAAAGCAAATAGAGGTTGGCTTATTGGTGCCAGGGGGATGCTGAAGAAGGCATCTTTTAGGTCCAAAACAGTATAGATTTGGTGTTTAGGCGGCAGGAGACTGAGCAGGGTGTACGGGTTAGGTACAGTGGGGTGTATAGTTTCTACCCTCTTATTTATTTCTCTCAGATCCTGGACTGGTCTATAATCTCCGGTGTCCACCTTCGGGACCAGGAGCAGTGGAGTATTCCATGGTGAAGTACAGGGCTTAAGAATGCCCGCATCTAGGAGGCGGTTAATGTGCAGGCTTATTTTCCTGCGTGCCTCAGGCTTGATAAGATATTGTCTGATAGCTATTGGAGTTGCAGTGTGTTTGAGCCCAACTATTATGGCGTTTGGTGGACAGCAAGCCCAGGAGGGTTGGTCTCTGCCCAGACGGAAGGATACTTGGCCTGGAAATCCCGTAAAAGTTCCTTTCCCTGACTCTGGTTTGAGTCGTCCCCTGGCTGGAGCAGGTATTCCTCTGAAATGGGGCAAGGGACTAAAATCTCTGTGGGGGCCCCAAGGTAGAGAGTGACCAGTTCTTCAGAGAAGGAAATTCGTGCCCCCAATTTCCATAAGAGATCCCAGCCCAGTAGTGGATAGGGGCATTCAGGTATAACAAGAAACGAGTGAGTGACCGTCTGGTCCCCCAGGTTGACAGTCCTTCGTGTTGTCCAAGGATAGAGTTTGTTAGGGGCTCCCGTGGCTCCCTGAACCACTGTTCGAGTGGGAGCTAAGGGTCCAAGTGGCTGAGTTAAAACAGAATGTGCAGCTCCCGTATCTAGAAGAAAATTTATGGACTGACCCCCAATTTGGGCATTTACCATGGGCTCGCGGGGGCTTAGAAAGATCGAGCCCTGACCCCTTCAATCAGAGTTATTATCTAGGGCCAGGATCGGCGGTTTAGGACGATCTGGCCTGTTGGGGCATTTCTCCTTCCAGTGGCCCAGTTGTTTGCAATATGCGCATTGATCCTTCCCTAGGGGTTGATGCCGGGGGTCCTTACTGGCTGGTCCCAGGCTTGGAGCGGGCCGGGGATCGGCTAGGGCAGCGATAGTAACTTTCCCTAGGCATTTATCAATGACCTCTTCTGGGGAGTCACCGTTATCGTAGACCTTTTGAGCAATCCCCAGGAGCTCTGACCTATTCTTGCCCTGAAATCCCTCAAGTTTTTGAAGCTTCTTTCTGATATCTGGGGCCGACTGAGAGACAAAAGTTAAGTTAATGGCAGCTACATTTTCTGGTGCCTCAGGATTAATCGGAGTATAAGTCCGATAAGCTTCTAAGAGGTGTTCAAGAAAAGCCGCGGGGGACTCCTGTTTAGCTTGAATAACTTCACTGACCTTGGTTAAATTAGTGGGCTTCCTTGCTGCTGCCTGGAGTCCCCCCAGGAGAAACTGGTGATAGGTGTCGAGGGCTCCCCTACCTTGATCCGTTGCAGGGTCCCAGTCTGGTCTCTGGGTCGGAAACAGGCGGCTGAGTCTGCCGGCACTGCCAGGGTCGTGAGAGTTGACTCCCGGTCCCAGGGCCACTTTGCGGGCCTCCTGGAGGATGCGAACAAAAGTGAACAAAGTCTGAAGTGAACAAAGTCTGGAGCAACTGCTGACAGTCGTCCCAAGTGGGGAGATGAGTCCGAAAGACAGACTCCAAAAGGGAAATAAGTGCCTGCGGTTTCTCAGAGAAAGCAGGGTTCTGATGTTTCCAATTACAGAGATCAGTAGTGGTGAATGGGACGTAAATTAAGCCACCACCCGGCTGCCTCTGTCGGAAGGGGAGGATAGCAGAGGGGCTGGTGGAGTCAGCCGGGAGAGGGTCAGAGGACGGCGAGTAAGAGGAACCACTACGCGTATGGGGAGGGGAAAGGGGAGAAGTGGAAGAAGAGCCAGGAAGTGGATCCGCTGGCGGAGGAGGTGTAAGTAAGTCCACCGGAGGAGGAGGTAGGGCGAGATAAAGAGCAAAATGGGGTGGCAATGGGTCTCCAGGAGGCTCCTGTAGGACTGGAGGGGGGGTCTTGGGAGTAGATTAGCTTAATTGGAGACTGGTTGATCGGGCAAGGAGAACAGAGGGTCATTGGAGAGAACAAGAAGTTAACCATTTAGGGGGACGTTGTAATAATTCCTTCCATACATCAATATATGGAAATTGGTCGGGGTGTCCGGGCTGGCCCAGAACAATATCCCATACCGCTCGGGTGATGTTAGAGTCAAAAGTTCCCGAGGATGACCAATTGACGTGAAAAGAAGGCCAATCAATTTCACAGAGAGCTTGGAGGTGGGCTTGCTTAACGGACTCCGTAATCGGCCTCCTTTTCCTTACTGTAGACATCTTGGAAATGTCCCAGGACACATTGAAGCGGGGTAGCTGGTCGAGATTGAGAAGCCCCCATTGAGAGAAGACTGAAAACAGACAACCCAGTGACAGATGACAAAATTACCAACGAAACAGACAAAAAAGACAAAAGCAACAAATACAAGAAAACAGAGATCCCTCCAAGTGCCAAACCAGGGCCAAAAGTCCCTGTGTTCTGGCCTCCTCTGAGGAGAACCAAACAGGGGGAGATTCTCTGCCGTCACAGGAATTCCCCGGACTTAAGGGTGTATGCTGCTTCCGGCCCCTTAGAGTCCTCCCAGGTCAGACTACAGACCAGACAGAGAAACCATAAAGGTTCCTTACCCTCGAAGGGTTTCAGAATAAAATCTCCAGAACAACTGAAACTGCCGAATCGTGCTTTACGTTCCCCTGCTACTTCGACTCACTCACCAGGGCCCTGAAAATCCGGGGTGGCCACCCGTGCGGGGAGCCGATCGTGGCCGAGGGGCGATGCGCAGGCCGTCCCGTAAATCTCACTGGGGCCTCCAAATGTTGGGTCCAGATAATCAATAAACAGTTTGGATGTCAAATTAGGGTTCCAAAGATTTTATTAAGCTGAGCTCAGCGACCATCTCTCCGACTAAGAAAAAACAGCCCCAAGACTTGGGAGGGTAAGGTTTTTATAAGATAGGGCTGTATGCAAAGTAAATTACAGAAGCCAAAAAGAATGTGTAGTTATTTTAGTTAAAACCGCATTCCGCTGTTGTAACAGTGTTGTTATGCCCAGGTGTCTTAACAGTATATCGTGACCGAGTTGAGTTGACCGCACAAACTGTTCCTCAGAAATATGTATGTAATCAATTTTAGAAACTAAGGACGGGGGTTGAAAAACTAAAGTTAGCTTGCTTCAAAGCCTCCTGAAATGTTAACATGAAGGCGGGAGAGGAAGGGGGAACTTTAAGGCCTGAGGAATGTTGTTCTTGAACCTTTTATTCCCCAGCAGAAGCAAAGCAGGTATACACAAGCAAAAAGAGCTGTTAGTTGGGTTTTTTTTTTGTGAAATGATCCAAGCCAGTTGTGACAAGACTATGTCTGCAAAACATTTTTAATATTTCTGTTGCAACCCATTTCTTGTAAAGTTAGGTGTTTTACTGTCTTAACGGGAAGTTCTGCTTAGAGTCTAGCTCGAGTAGCTGAAGTATGATTTTTAAAAGTGAGTCTGTCCGGCTGAGTCTGTCCGGCCTACGGTCCGGGCCGAGATCCTTACATTCCCCACCGGTCTTATGGGAGTAAATCAAATCATGGATTCATGGGCAGGGTTGTTAAGGGAAGTATAGCGGTAACGAAGGACTATGAGCTTGAGGGAACCAACCTGTCGTCGGACGTACCCAGTTAGGGAGTTGATAAGAGATGGGCCGACGAGGAGCCCTAAAAATAAGAGGATGAGCGGTCCGGCAAGGGCAGAGAGTAGAGTCGTGAGCCAAGGGGACCAGTTAAAAAGGGACTGGTACTAATTTTGGTTATTGGACTGGGCAAAATATTTATCTTTAAGATTCTCTCGAACCAGGGCAGGGTGTTAATGGTCTGGAAATGTAGCTCTTTTGGATAGTAAACTGAGTGCCTAAATCAGGACCAGACAGATATAGGTGAAAGCCCCAGGTCTTTCCCTCTAGCCAGAAAGGGGAGCCTGGACTAGTAATGGAAATTGTAAGGGGGTTACAGGTACCAATAAAACGACAGGATGAGCTGTGTGATAGTGAAATGGAGATACGGGGATCTTTTTCTTTCCGAGAAGCTATGTCTCACAGCCCCAGGCAGCGCAGTTATGTTTGTCCGGGGATATGCAATGGGAAGGTGACGAAGCAGGACAAAATAGAATTGAGTTCCTTCGAGGCTTTGCTTGTGGGTGAGAAGTAGTTACAAACGGGATGTTGATTTTGCATACAAAAAGATACAGAGGTGTCGAAAGGGGAGGGAATATGAGAAGCATATACAGTTCCTGTTTCTGTGTCCCTCATTTCCTATTTTACAGGTACTGGAACATGAGGATGGGGCCCATGGGCCCTAATTGGTATTGCGAGGAATGAGAAATAAACAGTTAAGAAGGAGATGAAGAGTCTCTGACCCTCCCCAGTCTTATCTTGGTATCTCCGGGTCCACTGAGGATCCGCTATCTGTCCTCTGCATCTGATGGAGCTGGCGTAACCTGGGTATAGTGGATCCAGGCAGGAGTCCCAGCGAGCTTAAGTGCTATTGGTGTGATTAAGGTGACAACATACGGTCCCTTCCAGGTTGGCTCGAGTGTCCTGGCGGGAAACCATCGGACCAGGACATTGTCTCCAGGCTGGAACGGGTGAGGCTGGATAGGTCCGTTGTCAGGGCGAGTCGCCTTGATGAGTGGCTGAAGTTCAGTCTGGAGGGTCTGTAAGGCTTGGAGAGACTGAATTAGGTGGTTGTTAGATATTTCAGATAATACATTATCCCCAATTCGTGGAAGAAGAGGGGGAGGTGTACTATACAGAATCTTATAAGGGGTGAAACCGGCACGGTAGGGGGTACATCGTACACGGAGTAAGGCTAAAGGGAGCAGGTCCGGCCACCCAGCACCAGTTTCAAGTACAAATTCAGTTAAAGTTTTTTTTAAGGTTTTATTCATCCTTTCTACCTGCTCTGAACTTTGTGGCCGATAGGCACAGTGGACTTTCCAAGAAATATGAAGTGCCTTGGCCAGATTTTGAGAAACAGTAGCCATGAAGGCTGGACCACTATCGGACCCCAGGTGACGGGGGAGGCCAAATCTGGGAATGAGCTCCTGGAGTAGTTTCTTGGCTACTGTGGCCGCTGTTTCTGTCCTTGTGGGTTTAGCTTCTACCCATCCTGAAAAAGAGTCAATAAAAACCAAGAGATATTGATAATTGTATGTACTGGAGCGGACTTCAGTGAAATCAAGTTTCCAATGTTCACCTGGGAAGGCGCCAGCAAATCTCGTGCCCATTTGCTGAGGATTGGAACTTACGTTGACCTTTGCACAGATTATACACCTGGATACAATGTACTGGACAGTAGCGGTGAGGTTAAGGACCTTGAGTTTGCTGCAGATGAGTTCATTAAGTTTTCGGGCCCCCAAGTGAGTCAGGTGGTGAAGTTGAGTTACGAGCTGTCTCCCTAACACTTGGGGGACACAGGGCCTCCCATCGGAAGTTTGGAGCCATCCGTTTCATTGGGGCTGAGCTCCCTGCATTGGAAAAGTCTGGTGTTCCTCAGTGGAGTAGGTGGGGCTCTCCGGGAGAGTCTGGAGAAGTTTCAGGTTAAGGATATCTTATGGCCCCATTGGTCTTATGGCTATCTCCCAGGCATCTTGATCTGCTGCCCTGTTTCCGACAGCCTCTGGGCTGGAGTCCTTTTGGTGCCCCCTGCAGTGGATGATGGTGACTGCCTTGGGTTCCCAAACAGCTTTCAGTAGAGCTAAAATCTCCTTGTTTTTGATGGCCCGCCCCTCTGAGGTTAGGAGCCCTCTGTTCTTGTAAATCTCCCCATGGACATGAACCGTTGCAAAGGCATACCTACTGTCAGTGTAGATATTAACAGCCTTGTCTCTGCCTAGCCGGAGGGCTTGTGTGAGAGTGATGAGCTCTGCCTTTTGCGCGGAGGACCCCCTGGGTAGGGCCTGGGCCCATCGTATTTCGCCGGCCTGATTGACTATGGCTGCCCCAGCATACCTGGTCCCTTCCCGAACATAGCTGCTCCTATCAGTATAAAAAGTCTCATCTGGTTCTGGTAAGGGGATGTCCGTCAGGTCCAGCCAGGTGAAGCTGGTCTGTGAGATGACCTCCAGGCAATGATGAAGAGGTCGGTCCAGGTCTGGGTCTGGAAGCAGCATGGCCGGATTGAGAGTGGTTTCGGTTTTGAACTTTAGTCTGGGATGGTCCAGGAGGAGGGCCTGGTATTGTGTGAGACGGGCGTTTGAGAGCCAACGGCTGGGGGCCCCCCTCAGTAGGGCCTCTATCCCATGAGCTGCGGTTACTGTTAAGGCCTGACCAAAGGTTAATTTATCAGCCTCTTTAACAAGGAGAGCTGTTGCAGCTATGGCTTTGAGGCAAGAGGGCCAGCTAGATGCTATGGGGTCCAGTCGCTTTGAAAGACAGGCGACGGGCCTCTTGCAAGGGCCTAATGTCTGTGTAAGGACCGTCTTTGCAATACCATTTTTTAGTGCTATAAAAAGGGAGAAAGGTTTAGTGATGTCCGCTAGAGCCAAAGCCGGGGCCGAGATTAGGGCCTGTTTTAAGGCATGGAAAGCTGCATCAGCCTCAGGGGTCCAGACAAGTGGCATATTCCCTCCTGCCGTAGCCGAATACAGGGTCTTGGCTAACTCCGCGAAACCCAGAATCCAGAGACGACAATAACCTATAGCCCCGAGTAATTCTCTGACCTGTCGTTTGGTGTTGGGCGTGGGGATGTGGGTGATGGCCTGGATGCGCCGGGCGGATAAGGCACATTTTCCCTGGTTGAGATCATAGCTCAGGTAAGTGACTGCAGGACTACAGAGTTGAGCCTTTTTGGCAGAGACCAGATACCCGAGTTCCTGCAAGGCTGACAGGAGATCCCCAGTAGCCTGCTTACAGGATTCAAAGTCCGGAGCAGCTAAGAGGAGATCATCTACATATTGAAGGAGTGTGATTCCCGTATGTTGCTCCCTGAAAGTGTGGAGGTCTTGATTTAATGCCTTATCAAATAGTGTGGGTGAGTTTTTGAATCCTTGGGGTAGATGGGTCCAAGTTAACTGTCCGAAAATTCCCCGTTTGGGGTCAGTCCATTCAAAAGCAAATAGAGGTTGGCTTATTGGTGCCAGGGGGATGCTGAAGAAGGCATCTTTTAGGTCCAAAACAGTATAGATTTGGTGTTTAGGCGGCAGGAGACTGAGCAGGGTGTACGGGTTAGGTACAGTGGGGTGTATAGTTTCTACCCTCTTATTTATTTCTCTCAGATCCTGGACTGGTCTATAATCTCCGGTGTCCACCTTCGGGACCAGGAGCAGTGGAGTATTCCATGGTGAAGTACAGGGCTTAAGAATGCCCGCATCTAGGAGGCGGTTAATGTGCAGGCTTATTTTCCTGCGTGCCTCAGGCTTGATAAGATATTGTCTGATAGCTATTGGAGTTGCAGTGTGTTTGAGCCCAACTATTATGGCGTTTGGTGGACAGCAAGCCCAGGAGGGTTGGTCTCTGCCCAGACGGAAGGATACTTGGCCTGGAAATCCCGTAAAAGTTCCTTTCCCTGACTCTGGTTTGAGTCGTCCCCTGGCTGGAGCAGGTATTCCTCTGAAATGGGGCAAGGGACTAAAATCTCTGTGGGGGCCCCAAGGTAGAGAGTGACCAGTTCTTCAGAGAAGGAAATTCGTGCCCCCAATTTCCATAAGAGATCCCAGCCCAGTAGTGGATAGGGGCATTCAGGTATAACAAGAAACGAGTGAGTGACCGTCTGGTCCCCCAGGTTGACAGTCCTTCGTGTTGTCCAAGGATAGAGTTTGTTAGGGGCTCCCGTGGCTCCCTGAACCACTGTTCGAGTGGGAGCTAAGGGTCCAAGTGGCTGAGTTAAAACAGAATGTGCAGCTCCCGTATCTAGAAGAAAATTTATGGACTGACCCCCAATTTGGGCATTTACCATGGGCTCGCGGGGGCTTAGAAAGATCGAGCCCTGACCCCTTCAATCAGAGTTATTATCTAGGGCCAGGATCGGCGGTTTAGGACGATCTGGCCTGTTGGGGCATTTCTCCTTCCAGTGGCCCAGTTGTTTGCAATATGCGCATTGATCCTTCCCTAGGGGTTGATGCCGGGGGTCCTTACTGGCTGGTCCCAGGCTTGGAGCGGGCCGGGGATCGGCTAGGGCAGCGATAGTAACTTTCCCTAGGCATTTATCAATGACCTCTTCTGGGGAGTCACCGTTATCGTAGACCTTTTGAGCAATCCCCAGGAGCTCTGACCTATTCTTGCCCTGAAATCCCTCAAGTTTTTGAAGCTTCTTTCTGATATCTGGGGCCGACTGAGAGACAAAAGTTAAGTTAATGGCAGCTACATTTTCTGGTGCCTCAGGATTAATCGGAGTATAAGTCCGATAAGCTTCTAAGAGGTGTTCAAGAAAAGCCGCGGGGGACTCCTGTTTAGCTTGAATAACTTCACTGACCTTGGTTAAATTAGTGGGCTTCCTTGCTGCTGCCTGGAGTCCCCCCAGGAGAAACTGGTGATAGGTGTCGAGGGCTCCCCTACCTTGATCCGTTGCAGGGTCCCAGTCTGGTCTCTGGGTCGGAAACAGGCGGCTGAGTCTGCCGGCACTGCCAGGGTCGTGAGAGTTGACTCCCGGTCCCAGGGCCACTTTGCGGGCCTCCTGGAGGATGCGAACAAAAGTGAACAAAGTCTGAAGTGAACAAAGTCTGGAGCAACTGCTGACAGTCGTCCCAAGTGGGGAGATGAGTCCGAAAGACAGACTCCAAAAGGGAAATAAGTGCCTGCGGTTTCTCAGAGAAAGCAGGGTTCTGATGTTTCCAATTACAGAGATCAGTAGTGGTGAATGGGACGTAAATTAAGCCACCACCCGGCTGCCTCTGTCGGAAGGGGAGGATAGCAGAGGGGCTGGTGGAGTCAGCCGGGAGAGGGTCAGAGGACGGCGAGTAAGAGGAACCACTACGCGTATGGGGAGGGGAAAGGGGAGAAGTGGAAGAAGAGCCAGGAAGTGGATCCGCTGGCGGAGGAGGTGTAAGTAAGTCCACCGGAGGAGGAGGTAGGGCGAGATAAAGAGCAAAATGGGGTGGCAATGGGTCTCCAGGAGGCTCCTGTAGGACTGGAGGGGGGGTCTTGGGAGTAGATTAGCTTAATTGGAGACTGGTTGATCGGGCAAGGAGAACAGAGGGTCATTGGAGAGAACAAGAAGTTAACCATTTAGGGGGACGTTGTAATAATTCCTTCCATACATCAATATATGGAAATTGGTCGGGGTGTCCGGGCTGGCCCAGAACAATATCCCATACCGCTCGGGTGATGTTAGAGTCAAAAGTTCCCGAGGATGACCAATTGACGTGAAAAGAAGGCCAATCAATTTCACAGAGAGCTTGGAGGTGGGCTTGCTTAACGGACTCCGTAATCGGCCTCCTTTTCCTTACTGTAGACATCTTGGAAATGTCCCAGGACACATTGAAGCGGGGTAGCTGGTCGAGATTGAGAAGCCCCCATTGAGAGAAGACTGAAAACAGACAACCCAGTGACAGATGACAAAATTACCAACGAAACAGACAAAAAAGACAAAAGCAACAAATACAAGAAAACAGAGATCCCTCCAAGTGCCAAACCAGGGCCAAAAGTCCCTGTGTTCTGGCCTCCTCTGAGGAGAACCAAACAGGGGGAGATTCTCTGCCGTCACAGGAATTCCCCGGACTTAAGGGTGTATGCTGCTTCCGGCCCCTTAGAGTCCTCCCAGGTCAGACTACAGACCAGACAGAGAAACCATAAAGGTTCCTTACCCTCGAAGGGTTTCAGAATAAAATCTCCAGAACAACTGAAACTGCCGAATCGTGCTTTACGTTCCCCTGCTACTTCGACTCACTCACCAGGGCCCTGAAAATCCGGGGTGGCCACCCGTGCGGGGAGCCGATCGTGGCCGAGGGGCGATGCGCAGGCCGTCCCGTAAATCTCACTGGGGCCTCCAAATGTTGGGTCCAGATAATCAATAAACAGTTTGGATGTCAAATTAGGGTTCCAAAGATTTTATTAAGCTGAGCTCAGCGACCATCTCTCCGACTAAGAAAAAACAGCCCCAAGACTTGGGAGGGTAAGGTTTTTATAAGATAGGGCTGTATGCAAAGTAAATTACAGAAGCCAAAAAGAATGTGTAGTTATTTTAGTTAAAACCGCATTCCGCTGTTGTAACAGTGTTGTTATGCCCAGGTGTCTTAACAGTATATCGTGACCGAGTTGAGTTGACCGCACAAACTGTTCCTCAGAAATATGTATGTAATCAATTTTAGAAACTAAGGACGGGGGTTGAAAAACTAAAGTTAGCTTGCTTCAAGGCCTCCTGAAATGTTAACATGAAGGTGGGGAGAGGAAGGGGGAACTTTAAGGCCTGAAGAAGGGGGAGGAAGGGGGAACTGAGGAATGTTGTTCTTGAACCTTTTATTCCCCAGCAGAAGCAAAGCAGGTGTACAGAAGCAAAAAGAGCTGTTAGGGGTTTTTTTTGTGTGAAATGGTCCAAGCCAGTTGTGACAAGACTACTTCTGCAAAACATTTTTAATATTTCTGTTGCAACCCATTTCTTGTAAAGCTAGGCATTTTACTGTCTTAACGGGAAGTTCTGCTTAGAGTCTAGCTGGAGTAGCTGAAGTATGATTTTTAAAAGTGAGTCTGTCCGACTGAGTCTGTCCGGCCTAGGGTCCGGGCCAAGATCCTTACAGTAACACTATTTGTAAGAGGCAAAACCTGGCACCTTACTTTTCTCTTCTACTTCTTTTTCCATTTTGAACCTAACCTCAGTGCTGGGAAGTGACTAGTCCCTGATTGCTATGTCACTTTTACAAATAAGAAAAGGGAAGTTCTATAGAAATTTAAGTGTCAATGTCACTTAGAAACAGAATAGGCTATGCCAGGCCTAGGGCCAAGGCCAGAAGGCCAAGGCCAGAGGTGGACATTGGACATGTCTGTGGCCGTGTCTGGTGGAGGGGACTTGGGACCAGAAGATACTGTTGGGAGGAGCAGTGCCCTTCCAGAATGTTCTGAGCATGAGGTCTCTCTGATGGGATCTTACCACCTCCACAGGCCTGCTTCATTTCCTTCCACCTTCCAGTCCCTGGTGAGCTAATCACCTCCATTTTTCCTGACCTGTAGGGAATCAGTC